GACTTGACAGTCCATTATTTCAAGGGGTGCAAGTGTGCTGCTGTCTGCTGCTGTTTTTGAGTGTTCATCTAGTGTCTTATGGTGCGACATATTTCGGTCTGTTGATGCGCATTTGGCTGCTTGATGATGCGCAATTGGCCGGTCTGCAATATTAGTCATGTTTTTATAACTTGTCAACATGTGAGTGCATAGCGTAGTTGGTATCACATCTGCCTTATAAATGAAAGATGCCGTGTTCAATACCGACGTGATCCATTGTGAATTTCCTTTTTTTTTTTTTCAAATGAAATGTAAATTGTGTGTGTTTTTGTTGTCACAATGTTTTTTTTTAAATAAAATGTAAATTGTGTGTTTTAAATGAAATGTAAATTGTGTGTGTGTGCGCGCGTGCGTGCGTGCGCGTGTGAAGATGCCGTGTTCAATAACGACGTGATGCATTGTGAATTTCCTTTTTTTTTTCAAATGAAATGTAAATTGTATGTGTTTTTGTTGTCACAATGTTTTTTTTTTTTAAATAAAATGTAAATTGTGTGTTTTAAATGAAATGTAAATTGCGCGTGCGTGTGCGCGTGCGTGCGCGTGCGTGCGTGTGTGTGTGTTTTTGTTGTTGTTGTTGTTGTTGTCACAACGTTTTTTGTAAAAATAAAATGTAAATTGTGTGTATGTGTGTTTGTTGTCACAACGGTTTTTTTTTTTTTCACTACATCTAAAATGTGCACTTTGCCAATTGGGGTACTGTGGGGGGCCCTAAAAAGGGCCAATCATTCTACATGAATACTGCTGGGTTCACGCACGAATTGACAATCACAGAGATTGTACACGTTAGTAGATCTGAACTGAGGTCAAACTGCGGTGGCAGAAGAGACGACGGACTAGTAGTCTCTCGGGGGCCAGAATCTAGCAATGTCTGCTAGTATGGTTTCAAACATGTCGCCACCCGCACGTTGAGCGCGCCTGCGCCACAGAAACTCACACATGTAAGATTCTAATAAATGTCTGTGGGTGCCATTCTGGCGCTTGTTTTTCTCTCCTTTGCCGACCTCCACAAACGTTCGATGCATTGCGTATGAGCACCTGTGGTGGGGTCGACAAAATTAATGGAGTGATTGTTTCTGCAACTTCTGGTTCTGTGCAGAATGCCATGCTGTTGCAGGAAGGCAATGCTGCTTTCCTTGTCTTGTACAGATGCAACTAGCTGTAGAAAATTCATCGTGACTGCTGCTGGAAACAATGGCAACTGACTGACGCCGGAAAAGAGCGGTAAACATACGTCATCAATGTTGACACTTTTCTTTGACAAAAACATCCAAAATGGAGTCAAAAAAGATCTTAAAATATCCAAATTTGCGTAGAAAACATATAGAAAAAAAATCCAAACGGGAAGAGTCACAAATTACATTGCTATTAATATGACTAAAATGTGTAGCATTAATCTGTACCGAAAAGTAAATGTGGCCAGTGTAACAGCTACCACATCACCCTTAGAGTGCCAGTACTACTGCTGCTACCACTACCACCACCACCGTCACAACAACAACACAAAACGGTCACTACTGTCTGTACAGGTCGTTGTAAGTGTGCCCCCGACATAAAACTCCATCTCTTAACCATGGGCGAACGCAAGGGAAAAAGGGGGGGGGGGGGCATTTGCCCTGGATTGATTGAAAAAAAAAAAACGAATGCTGTTGCTTGTTCATCTGCAGCAGCAACGCTATCACCAGAACCAGACCCGACAAACTTGAAAGTGGAGATACTATGTTAACCTAGGACATTGAACTCTGTGTAAAATCTACTACGAAGATTCGATCTTAAGCTCAAGTATCGTTTGCTAACTGATTCATACAAGCCTCATCCGTCATATGATTTTGAAGGCGACATGTCAGGAAGTGGAAAAAACGTTTCAGGAAATCTTGGCTAACCCAGTATTCTCTATGGTTATCATATTCACCTAGGTTAAAAAGTGCTTTTTGCATTTTCTGTGTTTTATTTCCGCAACCAGTTCAAAAAGGAATTCAAGGTGCCTTCATTACTACTCCTTCTACAAAGATTTTAATGAATGTGCCAGAAACCAGCTCAGCATGGCATCGTGGGTCTTAACAAGATGCTGAACACTTGGCGTCAACCATTAGAGATCCAAAAAAGGATATTATTTGTCAGATAGATAACTCCGTAAAAAGAACTATTGAAGAAAACAGAAAGAACCTGTATCCTTTTATTTCAACAATCTTATTTTGCGGAACAAATGATTTGGCAATTCGTGGGAAAGATAGCACCAAAGGAAATGTCGAACAACTTTATACGTATCGAATTGAGGGAGGAGACAGTATTTTTAAAAAAAAAACCATTTTGATACAACTGCTGGAAATGCACGTTACACATCACATCGAACGCAGAATGGTTTGATTAATTTGTCTGAATAAGCTTTGCGAGAAGACATTGTAAAAGCTGCTAACAATGCTGTTGGATTCTTGATCATAGCCGATGGAACAGCAGATATATTAGGAGCAGAACAGTTATCACTGGGAGTCCGGTTTGTAGAGAAGGCTATGATTCGTGAGGAATTCCATGGATTTTCTCCGCTGAAAGGTATGGACGCCGCCACGATATCTGATTGTATTATTCTACATTGCAAAACATTTGGTCTTCTCCTTAATAATCTGCTGGGTCAAGGTTATGATGAGTGCTCGACAATGGCCGGAAAAGAAAATGGTGTTCAGGCGAAAAATTCGAAGAATTTACCCCAAGGCTGCCTTTGTTCGCGGTGCCTCGCATATACTGAATCTCGTTGAAAATGATCTTAATAATGTTGCATTGATACGAAATACTATTAGTACTATCAAAGCAATTATTACATTTTTTTCGTGAAAGCCCAAAAAGGAGGTCCTCTGTCCCAAATATTCCTATTCTGTGTGAGACAAGATGGACAAGCAAGTATAAAAGTATTCAGATTTTTTTCTAGTAAATTTGCCAACTGGAAACATTTTCAATGCATGCAAGTGGAAATACACGACAGGCTGCACATCAGTTACATTGTTCATCAAAGTCCAGCACGTTTTTATTTTGTCTCAATATTATTTCTCAAGACTTGGAACCAGTTACTCAGGCTCTTCTAGCTGTTCAAGTTGATCTTCCAGAAGTCCAACTGCAAGTTCAAAACCTGCTCAGTGTAGTAAAACTTCACCGAGGTGATTCCGATAACTATTTCAGGGATATTTTTGTGAAAACACTACAAACTCGCACAGAAAGTGGATACTGAGCTGATTATCCCAAGACAGAGTGGAAGACAAAAGTATCGAAGTAATCCGGGAACCATAAGTGTTGAAGAGTACTTCAAACTGTTTACATTCCATACTTAGATTCTCTAATTAACTCAACTGAGAGTCGATTCTGTGAAGCCAACAGTGCACAATTTAACTTAGCGTTGCTACATCCTTCAAAATTGTGCAAACTGAATCGTAAAAAGTTTAACGATATAATGTCTACTATTATTCAGATATACTACATTGATAATTTTGAAACTTCTTCTTCTTCTTCTTCTTCTTCTTCTTCTTCTTCTTCTTCTTCTTCTTCTTCTTCTTCGCGTTCACCAGCTGAACACTCTGGCGTAAAGTTCTGGTTGCTCATCCACTTCTGGACTGCAGCCATGCTCCAGAACATGAGTGTTGCGTGTGCATCAGTTTTACAGATCTGATTCAATTGAATGCAGACTGTTGGTTCCTCGCCTCTCAGGCAGATGCACTCCGACTTCAAAGGAAGTTCCCCAGTTAGTTGACGACATGCTTTTGGGGAGGCAGTGGGTCTATTCTTGTTTTCCCCACAATAGGGCCCCGGAACCCACACGGGGGAGGGAAAACGCGAGAATGCAGAAGTAGACAAGATTTTATCGACTTGTACCTTTTACAAAGTTTTATCTGAGTGTCAGGTATGTGTTACTATTTTTGCTAACATTACCAGCAACAACATGTACTGTGGAGCGATCGTTCAGCACATTACGTCGTCTTGTAAAACATGGCTTAGATCTGCAATGTGAGATAAACGTCTGTATGGATTGTTTATGTGAAGCAATTCCAGGCCGGCAACGAAACAAATAATGATTTGACAGTTGCTGGCGCTACGTCGTTCGTGGTTTGTGCGATTTATGAAAGTACTTACAACGAGCTTTGGTGATATCCCCGGGAACTGCCAATATTTTTTTGTTCATACTTTACTTTTAGCATATTGAAATGTTTATTCAAAGTGAAAGCCACATAGGAAGGTGAGCAATTATTTTTTTTAAATCACATGAAAAAGAAACACAAAGTTAGCACAGTGAGGTTACGGTTGAAACAAAAGTGATTTGCGCACCCTTTTAATTAATCAGTACCGGGGCTGCCAGATATTTGAGCTTTGACCCCAGTGAGAGTTCAAAGTTTGAGTAACTGAAAGAAAAAACAATAATAACTGGAAAAAAAATATTCAACTCAAATCAAAAGCATCTAGAAAAACATCTACCATAAGAAAAAAAATATTTGACTCCAAATGAAAAGCATCTAGAAAAGCATCTACCATTTAAACGTCAAAAAGACATCTAAATAAAAGGAAAAACATATGAAAAGCATCTAGAAAAGCATCTACCATTTAAACGTCAAAAAGACATATAAATGGAAGGAAAAACATATGAAAAGCATCTAGAAAAGCATCTACAATTTAAACGTCAAAAAGACATCTAAATGGAAGGAAAAACATATGAAAAGCATCTAGAAATGCATCTACCATTTAAACGTCAAAAAGACATCTAAATGGAAAGAAAAACATATGAAAAGCATCTAGAAATGCATCTACCATTTAAACGTCAAAAAGACATATAAATGGAAGGAAAAACATATGAAAAGAATCTAGAAAAGCATCTACCATTTAAACGTCAAAAAGACATCTAAATGGAAGGAAAAACATATGAAAAGCATCTAGAAATGCATCTACCATTTAAACGTCAAAAAGACATTTAAATGGAAGGAAAAACATCTAAATGTGGATGTAAAATATCCGAAGTGGCAACACTGAACGTCATAGTAAAGGCGCGCTTTGCAAGAGCGCGCTTTTGCGATGTGAACAACTTGGAAGTAGAGAAACCACGAGAAACCACAACCTGAACACCCTAGAATTTATTGGGAATGTCTCCTGTGACGTCATTGTGACGTCAGGGGTACGCAAAAAATATAGTACCCAACTTTATTCCGATATATGAAATCTGACAATTCTGCTCCGGTCTATCATATGTGACCTGTCTGCTCCAGTATATGGCATTTCCGTTTTGACAAATCACATTCGAGAGTGAAACGGAGTTAGTACTCAGATTTTGATTTGTCTTTTCCATGAAAGGGCATTTTTTTTTCCCCCACGCCTTCAGGTGTACTGAGCATAGAGTAAAAGTAAAGGACCCTTTTCCACGTCTGTAGGCGTTTGGGCACATAGGGCCAGCCCTATATAATATAGCCCAGTGGGAATTAGATGGGTGATATGGTCAACATCACGCCAGCCGCCTTTAATTTACACTTTATCTGGTGCACATTTAAGCCTGGCCCCACCTGCGAACCAAGGTACTTTTTCCTTCCCATTCACAAAAAGTATATGGCTAAAGGTAGTTCTCACATTATACTCACCAAACTCAGTAGCCAGGTATGTTATTATGGCTATGGTCTGTCCGAACCGCTTGCCGTCGATTTCAATCACTGGAAGCTGTTTGAATGGCGTATCTGTTGGATTATGAATGCTACATTAATACAGGGAAGTATACCAGTGGGGAGGTGCAGATGGATCATTACTGTCTGGAGAGAATGGCGCTGCGAGGAGTTCCTAGGGGATCTTGCCGACGCTCAACACTCAGGGAAAGGAAGATAAGATGAAGGATGAGACGGTTATACAATCAGACAGTTACTGCGCCATCGGAATTGGAACTCCTCGCTTGCTGCTGAAGATGAGGCTAAGCACTTATGCGAGTGTCCCGAGTGCTGTGATGTCGATTCTTAATTCAACATTCAAGGGAAGTATACGTAACGAATGAAATGATCTATTTTATGTTCAGTAAGACGCATTAGGTATATAGTAGAAAAACATTTCCCACACGTTCAGGTTATTAGGCATATAATGCCCCCTCCCCCAAATTGCCAATACTGCTTGTATTTACCATTTATGCGGCGTAGGCGGGGGATCTTTGAGCTTTAAGACTTCAGGCCGCCTGGCTAGCGGTATATAGTGATAGACCGATACTTTATTAGACTAACCGGCACTTGGTAGATGATGTTGTCAAGGCAACCGAGGTGTAAAGTAAGTTAAACAAAAAAGTGAAGGCCAGTTTGCATGCCAGAGGTTCTGACTAGAACGAACAGAGCTCGTATCTATAGGTCTAGCCCTATATGCCAAAACGCCTAAAGACGTGGAAGAGGGTCCTTTACTTTTACTATATGCCAAGTTCACATGAACACGTGGAAAAGTGCCCTTTCATCGAAAGGAAACATTAAATATCTCTTAGCACGAAACTCGGAGCTGTTAATCAAAAATTCAAATTTCTGTCTAACAGATCAGAAAGCTAGCCTTTTAAAATAATGGCGTAAAATGGGAAGAATCAAACAAACTTTTTACACAATTAAAAACCAATCAGCAACAAGAAATTTAAATGTGCATGCTGAATACGGGGCTGTAGAGTCTACATAACAGTAAGAAGTCAACCAACAAACAAAAAGGCATTGTAGCAAATAAATGGTTACCAAGACAGCGGTACGAGTTCAATTCTCGTTGATTTTTTTTTTTTTAAATTACTAAAGTAACTATTAGGTCGTCGACGTTTGTGGCTTAGATAGACTTCCGGTTCCGACATTGAAAGGGAATGGATGACGGTTGAGAAATTGGCTTATGTTGACCGTCCTCGTTGCCGTTTCTCCCAAAGTTTCGATGTTGCAAGATTGTGTAAGTCCATTTTGTAGCCGGAGCTACTGAGTTTAGTGCTTCTGGCGGCACTATGAGCTGTGATTATCGGTTATTGACTGAGTTCCAGATTCGTACATAATGGCAATGATGGGTGATGTATTTTTCTTCGCTGTGTTCCTGTGACAAGGCGTGTGCTATAGCTGCAATTTATTTGCTCGTCGTGGCTGGAACTTAGCCCAGGACATGTGGAGAATGGCCAGGAATAGTTTTAATCTAGTTATCGCCCAGCTATTCGTCGAATGAAGTTGATTTTCAGCGATGACGCCTGGTCTCGCAGTGGGTATAAGGAAGCATGCACCGTGTGGTTTGCCAGATCAAATCGTGTGTGTTTTGATGACTGTGGACACTTTGTATGGCTACGGCATTCACTTTAAGTATCCAGCATATCTGACTCAGTTTGTGACTGGAATCACTGGCATAGGCGGTTGAGCAATTATGGGCCAAGCTCGTTCGCTGTGATGCCGGAACTGTAACGAATAACTGGCTTAGGTGTTGCCATCGCCCTTCTTAGTCGGGGTCCGGTTCTATGCCAGTTGCAGGCGATTTGCCAGCAGACCATCTTGTGTTGGTTTCGAGAGTGGTACCATAGACGATCGTTCAGTGGCAATGGCAAACTACTGAACGTATAATTTTCCCAGGGGCAAAAACTCACAATAACCAAAAATGCTAGGTTCGGCTCGGCAACCTCTTGTTAAAGATACGCAACAAACTCAGCTATGAAGTCAATCAGATCTCATCACGTGACTTAAGAGGTGAGGCTGGATTACATTTCTTGAATAAGGGCCTAGCCACAAGGGTCTCCGTGACCGTGTGTTTAAGCTGTTAACCTCACGCTGTGAAGGTCAGAGATTCGTTTCATGGACGCATCGTTCTGTTAAGTGGTGCAATATTTACTGTGATCCCCAGGAGTTGTCGCTGGAACTACAGCGTTCGTGTCTCATATGGCGCTCTGGGCAGGCCGATGGCCATTCTTCAGAGATAGACTGAGGCATATAGTATATCTCATGCAATGAGTTCAATCCTCTTAACTTGACTTCTAGTCCATTGTTTTCCTAATTATAGTGACAGATCCTTCCATAACTGTCTGTTTGACTACATTGTACAACTATCCTATGTCTACTTTTGTCTCAACTACGCTTGTTTTCCCAGTCGTCAATAACGATGTTTTCACACTTGTGTCTTCTCATAACACGGAAGGCGGTGGAATATCAGACATAATGATCATAGACCAGAAGATACAAAGACCTAAGCTGTGCACACCACCTGCATTGCAGTGTTCCAAACGTCAGAAGGTCTAGCATTCCAGATCGAATGACTCAGCGAACAGGATATTTGTAGGTATTGTTTAGGGCCTCACCTTCTTAGAGAATGTTCACTGATCCAGAAGAATGAGGTCTTCTAAAAGCCCAACTAAAATAGGAAGTGTGCCAACTGCACCGGTTCGCATGGGGCCAGATATCTAGGCTGCCCATACTTACAAAAGTGTAGGCAGACGATGAAAACAACCATTAAAAAAAAAAAAAAAAACACTTGCCATATAGAGAAGCGCAAAGAAGACACGAAGCACCAAAGAGAAATCCATTCCTAGATACAGCACAATTTCAATTTCAAGGCCATATTACGAACCTAGAAAGAGAAATAAAAAATTTCCAGAAAAAAGTGGAAAAAGAGATGGTGGTGGGGGGGGGGGAAGGGGGGGGGGTTATACTGGATACGCAAAGAGATAGAGGAGAAATCATGAAGACCACGCTAGAAATTCAAAGCCAAATCTCGAAAGATGTAGCTTCGATGGAAGATTTTAAATCAGAAATAGTGGCTCTATTCAATGAACTAAACAACCGAAAAAAGACCCACGAAAAATATACATCATCGCAGATACGGAACCTTCCAAACGAGACAGAGAAAACGAAAGAAATTCAGAATACAAGTTAAAGCCAAGACCAGGTGAGAGAAACAGAGCAGTTGCATCAGAGAAGACTACGAAGGAGCTAGTGAAACGATCCAAACAGACTTAGATAAATGGCATGAAGAGCAACGATGACTAGCAGCGTAAAGATGATATCAAACGGCAATTATCCAAAGGAAGTACAAAGAAATACATCTGGTCCAGTAGAAAGCATTCCAAACAAGCAACAAAATTAAAGCGTGGAACATCTCGTATGGCGTTATAGACGATGACCACATACCGACAACGCTGACGAAGCCAAGTCAAGATTGTGGTAGCAACTAAAGATCTAATGGCAGAGCAACCTTGATAAACAGCTACTAAAACATCACGATGAACTAGCAGAGCGATTATCACAATAAATAACTCAGAAGACAGCTCAATCAATGGCAGTAACACCACCAACGGATGGCACAATAAGCAACACATCACCTAATCAGATCCAGACCTGCACAATGAGATGGACTCGACCTGGCAGGCCAGATAGACATGGAAGACATCAAATAAAGCACCAAACACTGCGCAATGAAATAGCAACACGATTTGTTACCATTATTATAACCGAAATTGACAAAGACGAGGCTAGCTCCCTATTCAGAGGCTGAAAGTGGCTAACTGAAATCCAACAAACAAACAACAAACCAGTAAGTTGAATCAGTCGGTCAATTTTTGGATAATGATGCACGTCTCAACATGGCTGGAGCCTGGGAACTTCTGAATTTTGTGTGTGTCGGCTCCCTGGTTCGGCTAAATTTTCTTGACTATGTTAATTGAGTTACTCATTGTGCACGCACGTGTTGCTGTTATAAAACATGCAAGCACAAATATAGGCAGTTTAATTTTTTTTTTAAATAATAAAAGCAAATGGGTTTGGAAAAAGGAGCAAAAATAAATGTCTAAAACTATCAATTGTAAAAGTTCAATAAACATTAAAAAAAATATCTGGAACATACTGTCTTTCTCTGTTTCCCATTGTTCCTGTGTATATCGAATGTCCTCATACTTTTGCCCTGCTGCAGCCAGAAGCAGACGACATACTTCTGCACGACCTCTAGCGTCAAAATAGAAGAGTTTGATGGGTTTGGGCGCCATGGCTGATCTGTGGGTAATTAATGAAATACAAAAACTCATATTTCAAAACAAAATAGCCAGAGCAAACAGACTCTTAAACACTCATAATTTATTAATTTCATTTTAATTTCAAATACATGTTGCCATACTGTAAAAATTAAAGTTCTGTTTCAAGGCTTCGTCAAACAAATGAGGCTTGTCTGTATAGACAAATTGACACTCGTTGACTTATTCGCACTCAAAAACATAACAATGCAGTTAAATAAAATTTCACATTTAAGGATAAACGCAACTGATGGTATCACTCTATTTGAAACCCACAGAAAAGGCAAAACATGCCCTAATTATTACCGACCGGACATTTTCAAGGTGCGCTATAGAAAAATCAATTCTTTCTACAGATACCAGTGGCAGTGTTGAAAGATGAAGGCAAAATACAATTGATAGCTTTGACAAAGAAGTTATTGAACAACCCATATGGAGAATGTTGGATGATAACTAATTATTGACGCTGAAGAAATTAAAACTTGAACTGAACCATGGCATTGAGTTATAAAAAAAGTACACTATGGAAAATTGTAAAAGCTGCAGAGATTTACGCCTCCATGATAAACAATTTCAGAAACGTCTCTAACTTCTATCATACTTCGCGACTTCGATTCACCTTTGTATTGTAAAATTTGTTTTGTTAGCTAACTAAAATTATAAAGTGATGAAAAGAACAAAGAAAGCATTTGTTTCGATAAAACTCAGTCAGTCAGTCAGTAGCCTGTCCTTTACAGAACCATGCTCCCATAACAACCTTCCGGAAAACTTCTCAATCACAAGCAAGATGTCCTGCGTCTGATACACCCATCTGGAGATCATCTGCCACATCCGGCACCCATCTTCTCTTTCGCCTTCCTCTTCCTCTCTTCCCAGGCATTTACCCCTCCATTACTGTTCTATCGAAACTTTTGTGACCAAAATATTTCAATTTTTTTTGTGTTTTATCGTCAGTAATAGCGAGTCTTCTTATATATTCAGTTTTTGAAGTATGGATGCATTCGTTCTTAGAACCCGTCTATAACATCTAGGACAAGTAATAACATGTGACGGCAGAAGTGAAACAGAAGTCAAGAAAAGAATAGAGATGGCCAAAAACATTTTCAACAACAAGCAAAAGTTACTGACATCAAGAGAAATAAGCAATACAATACATTAAAAATGAGAATTGTCAATTGTTATGTATTCTCAACCTTACTGTTTGGCACAGAGACATGGACAATGAACAAACAACTGGAAAATCGTATCAATTCTTTGGAGATGTGGATATACAGAATATTAGGTCGTATTTCATGGAAACAAAAGCCATCAAATACAGAGGTACTAAGGAAATTGGTAATGAAAAGAGAGTTGCTATGTGAAATAAAAAAGAGACAAGTGAAATATTTTGACCACATTAAAAGACATAACAGTATTGTAAAGATCATCCGAGAGGGAAAGGTTCAAAGTAGGCGAGCAACAGACAGACAGCGTTACAAGTGGGAGGATAACATCAAGAGATGGATGAACAGCAGTTATGAGTGAGTGTACATCAGGGGCAAGAGACAGGGCTTTTTGGAGATCCATTGCAGCCAACCTTCATTGTGGAGACGGCACCTGATTGATTGATTGATAACATCTGTATTCAACAGGATTTATGCTCTGTTCAGCTTGTTAAATAAGTGTCCAGGTCTCACGGGCGTATGTTGCAATTGGAAAGATGCATGCTCTTAGAAATCTAATTGTTTTTAGTTCTGTGTCTCTATTCCATAACTTATTCAGTTGTTTTAGTCTTTGAAGAGCAATTGATAATCATCGTTTAATGTCTTTCGTTATGTCACCATTGTTGGTAATCAAAGACCCGAGATATTCACAATTTTGCACAACCTCCAATCTGTCCTCATTACCATATATTTCTTTCTCGTTAGTAGTTTTTATCTGTATGCATTCTTCCTTGTTTTTGCTATGTTAATGTATACATTTTGATTTTCACTATTTCTTTGGGTTAATTTGTTAAGTTTTCTATACCAGTCTGTGATGTGGATAGCAATACTGTGTCATCGGCATATCGAATCTCTGGTTTTTCATGACCACCGATGTTAGGGCATCATATTGCTCTCTGATTATATCACCTCTGATATTTCTAATAATATTTTCGGTGTATAGGTTAAACAAATAGGGTGACAGCACACAGCCCTGACTGACTCCTTGCCTGATGTCAAACCAGTCTTACGTCTTGTTATCTAATCTAACCGCTGCCTGTTGGTCTAGATAGAGCATTGTTATGAGGTGTACCACATGTGATGGAAAACCCATATTCCTCATGATTTCACAAAGTTTCTGATGTTGTACACAGTCAAATACCTTTGAATAATCCACAAAATAGGTTTAAATTAAATTCTCTGGACTTCTCTATTATTAAACGCATGTTAAGGATGTGATCTCTTGTTCCTCTTTCTAGTGTAAATCCAGTTTGAACCACGTTAATCTCTTCTTCCATCTTCTTACCTTGTCTTCCCATTATGATATTTAGTAGAACTATACTTGCATGACTGATCAGGGCAACAGTTCTATAGCTGGTGCATAATTTCAGGCTGTCCTTTTTTGGTATTGGAGTGAAGATAGTTCTCTTCCAATCATATGGCCATATATCATATTTCCATATCTTGTTTACATAAAGCACGATCATTTGTATGCTTTCTTCCTCTACCGCTTTAATTAGTTCAGCTGGTATCTCATCACATCCTGGCGATTTACCTTCCTTCAGGTTCTTTACTGTCCATCAGTTTCATCTAATGAGGGTTCAGGTTATGTCTCTGCTGTTATTGATTCATGTATATCATTCATATCCTCACAGTCATTGGTTCATGTATATCATTCATATCCTCACAGTCATTGGTTCATGTATATCATTCATATCCTCACAGTCATTGATTCATGTATATCATTCATATCCTCACAGTCATTGATTCATGTATATCATTCATATCCTCACAGTCATTGGTTCATGTATATCATTCATATCCTCACAGTCATTGGTTCATGTATATCATTCATATCCTCACAGTCATTGGTTCATGTATATCATTCATATCCTCACAGTCATTGGTTCATGTATATCATTCATATCCTCACATTCATTGGTTCATGTATATCATTCATATCCTCATAGTCATTGGTTCATGTATATCATTCATATCCTCACAGTCATTGGTTCATGTATATCATTCATATCCTCACATTCATTGGTTCATGTATATCATTCATATCCTCATAGTCATTGGTTCATGTATATCATTCATATCCTCACATTCATTGGTTCATGTATATCATTCATATCCTCACAGTCATTGGTTCATGTATATCATTCATATCCTCACAGTCATTCATATCATACATTCTACTGCAGTATTCCTGCCATTTTTCTAGAATTTGTCTAGATTCTGTCAAGGTATTTCTCAACTTGTTACAGATAACATTTAATCGAGGTTGAACATTTCTTGTCAATAACTTCATTTCTTTAAACATTTCGGATCTCTTCCATTCTTATGATATTGCTTTATTTTAATACAACAATCATGTATATATTGGTTTTTGTTCTTTCTTATGTTCTTTCTCATTTCTCGGGTTAAATATTTATACTTCATCTTGCTGTTATCAGATTCATCTCCTTTCATTTCCTTTTCAGTCTCCTTTTTTTTTTTTTAAATTTTTTTATTAATTCCAACGTGTCTGATGTAATTCATGGCTTATGTTGCTTAGTCCTGGTCGGAATCGAATCTTTGTCTGCTGCTATGAAGATATCTCTAGCTTGTACTGCCATTTCCTATTGTACAGACATCAGGACACCAAAACGATTCCTGACTTGTACGTTGTATGCATCTAGTATTTTTGTGAGATCAAAACGAAGTGGCCTTGGTTCTCGGGTAAGCTTTTTGATCTGCTTCTAATAAGTGATGATCTGTATCACAGTCTGGCGTCCGTGGTTTAGGCGTTGCGAGTCCGACTCGTAATTCCAACGTACCGCGATCGAAACCCACTGCTGGCTGCGTGGATTTTTATCGTTGTATGGGGCGTCGCAGGTCGACCCAGCCTAAAATGGGTACCAGGATAAATATCATGGGGAAGTAAAGACGACCGGCGTAATGCTAACCACATTACCCACCTAGTACAGAATGGTATGTAAAAATATGGGTACTCTTCCCATATGCCGGACGCGCCTGAAGGCGTGAAAAGGGATCGTTACTATAAGTTTGTATTACAGTCTGCACTTCGAAGGATGTTATGCTTGATCTTCATCGTTTTTGTATTTAAATATAATCTACCTGATTTTTTTGTAATACTGTCCGGAGACTTCCACGTGAAGAGGCTTCTTGGGTGTTGTTTAAAAAATATGTTGGCTATCGTTAACTCATTTTCTGCGCTTCGTTAAAACTTGGCAGTTTATATATTATTTATGTATAAAACATTAACGTCGAGATGAAAATAGGAGTACATACAGGAAAAAAAAAAAAAAAAAATCACGTTCCTAGGATAATTAATTACCGAGACATTTTCGAAAAATTAAACGACAGGAATAATAAAACGGACTATAGGATTTGTTTTGAGAAGTAAAGGCAGTAGGCTTGGTTTTGACCGCATCATGTGCCTATTGATCTATAAAATATGAACCTAGCATCGTCTGTCTGATACGACATTGTGGTGGAAACATGTGTTTCAATAATCATTACTAAATGAAACAGTTGTGACAAAATCGATCCTATGACAAAAGGTAAAGGGTCCTGGCCTCAAAACAAGGAGACTATAGAATATATATAATCATCATCATAATCGTCATCATCATTATCTTATGCGATCTTTGTACAACACACAAGGCTTGTAGTCTTTTCCGACCATACAATCCTGTACAGGACAGTTTGTTTCCTTTCGACGGAATCCAACCCAGCACCTTTAGTCTCTCTCATCAACATTCGTCTTAGAGTTTCTCTTGGATGTCT